ACCCAAAACATTAACTCTGATTTCTCTCCACAGATGCTCCCAGACCTGCTGAGCTTTTCCAGCAATTTCTGTTTTTGAAACTGCTTCTGTTATTACTCAGGCTTGTGCAGTCCAATCCTGAAAGGCTTTTTCTTAACCAAAACAATTTGAGTGATTAATTCATTTTAGTTCAGCAACATGAGCAGCACAGGAAGTTAAGAAGTCAGAGAAAAAGTTCAGTTGGATCATTGAAATTAAGTCACCTTGAAGTCTGTTTTTGAAAGTACATTAACCATACCAGAGTTAATACTCAAGAATTGAGTAAAGTAGTTGGAGATATCTGAGCTAGTTACAAAAAGACCAGTGTGTATAAAGTTACATAATGTTCATGATCCACAAGTTAAACCCTCAATAACAGCTTTTTGCTTTTCACTACCATTAAAACCCAATTATGGCCCAGATTTTTCTGCAGTGGTAATTTCCCAGATATTCTTAAGTTGAGTTGTCTAATGACTCAATCTTAATAAGCAATCATTTCCTTCACATTTTCCGACATTTCTAATGAAAGGACAACACAGTGGAGGACAGAATTGAAGAAGTATGACCACCTATTCCCAGCAATATGAATGCGCAAGCAGACCAGCAGCTTGAAGTCTCAAAACTGGCTTTGATATGAAGGTGAAGCATGGCATTCAATTTGAAGCAGCAGTGGTTTGCAGACGGTTGACCATACTGCAAGCAGCAATGAATCTGCTACCCTTCACTGCCCAGAAGGGAAGACTGCGTCACAAGCAACACACACCCAATTGATACAATCACTAAAGCACAGACTTCTCAAAATTCACATACTTCTCACAGACTGTCACAAATACAATTGCATGCCCAGCCACAGGGAAGGGGGAAGATAAATTAGTCACCAAATACTTTCAAAATTGGACTTAAGTGAGATGTTAGTGCAGAGGAAAGTAACTTTTTGCAGCTTGTGTTACACATTTGTATCAAGCAACTGCACATCAATAATGTGATGGGTTGCAGAGGACTGCTCCCTCTACATGAGCCCGACATGCATTAACCTCGAGGACAGTACCAGTGCAACCTCCTTTCATTTCCCAAAACAGCTATTGAGTGAAACTGCCCCAATGTTCACCAAATCTTGGCCAATCTGTGCTGGGAATTGGAAAAAGCAGAACACTGGAATTTAGCAGCAAGCTACATGCTTAAATTTGGCTGCAGTGGTGCAACTTGAATGAACCAGCCGCACAAAGAGGGAGGGAGGGAGATGGAGGAAGATCAACTGGATATTAATTGGTATCAACAATCAGAAAATTAATTCATTGCATATTTTAACCTGAATGCATGTGAACTACACATAGAGCAATTATAGGTTGAGATACATGGATAATGGTGTAGATTTTAAGCAAACCATACCGGACCATGGATCCTTAAATCACTCAAAGATAAGTGAAGTCTGCAATTTACAGACGCAGGAAAACTGTTGAATCAATTTCAAGCACCAGACTTTATCAGAGGTGCTCAGGAGTGGGGACATCATCCAGAGAGTGGAACATTAGGACATAGAAGGGGACTGCTCAGACTTTCACACTTGCATTGGATCCTTGCCCAAATTAGCCTGCGTCCCAAGTCCCCAACCCCACCAACAACCACATGTTGCTCCACCCTACAGCAACAGTAATGGTGGAAAAAACTGAAAAGATTTCTTGTTGCACACTGTCCCCTTGAGGGAAGGAAGATCAGTGAGAACATCAAGTCCTCTTTCTCACAATCTACATTGGCTCATAAGTACAGAAAAGGAAACAATGTAAATTCCCATGTTACAGAGAGCCCAAACAACCTAAACATAAAACAGAGAGAAACCCAAGACAGTGCTTCAATCACTCAATGCAGTTAGAGAAAACAGCTCAATTCCAGGCAAAAGAAGAGAGCCCTGCTGCAACAAGCAAATGGTCTCTGTGCCAAGTAACTTACCCGTCTGTTGATCTTATCTCCCTGTAAATCATACAGCAAAAATGAGCAATATATAATTTATTTAATCATTTCAGTCAAATACTTTTGTAGTGTCACACCTAACATTTAAGGATTGATCTATACAGAACTCTCATGCCTGAACATCTTTGACCTCTAACACATACGGATTGCCTCGTTTCTCAAAGCTTGTTGCCTGATCTTGGGAATATTTCCAACTGTTTCTTCTTCTGATAGCACTGACTCTGGCTACAAAAATGCCAAAAACAGTCATCCCAATATATTTCAATACTTGCGACACCACAGAATTGTTGTGCTACAGTCCCATTCTCTCAAAACAGCAGCAGTTATCCAGTACCATCTGAATTCAGTATTGCCTGTTTCAAAAAGGAAGACTGACCCAAAGTAATCTCAACTTGAAGACAGTCAATGCTAAAGTAGATAAGTGCATGTTCACCACTTACTGATCTATTTATTAATACATTGACATTGAAAGTCTAATTAATGAGCTAAAGACCACATGAATCCAGGTAGAAGACATATCCACTTTAAATTGATTACAAATCAGAATATGTCCACTGTTGTAAATCTGAAAGAACAAAGGGCTGAAAATGCTAGAAATATTCAGCGAGAGAGAGAGAATTGACATTCCAGGTCTGTGATCTTGAATCAGAGCCAGTTTTCCGAAGAGTCTCTCTCTCCACAGATGCTGCCCGACCTGTTGAATATCTCCAGCATTTTCTCTTTTTATTCCACTTTCATTGTATTGGCCAGTTTTCAAAAGGAAATACATGCAGTTTATGTTACTGCTGAATTTGCTAGTCTGTACAACAGCGTTTTAATTTTCTGGCTGTAGGGTAGAGCTACAAAGGGCCATACTGGTCTGGGTCAGAAAGACAGACCTCAGAAAGACAAACCATCACAGTTTATGTGAGCCACCACCTGTAGACTTGGCCGCAACAAGAGTAACCCTCCGTTTTGAAGGATTCTTGCTGCCGTCAACATCAGCAGCATGGGACAGTAACACTGCCATCGAAGACCATTACTGTAGCCTTGTCCTGCTTATACTTGGAGCAGCTAATGTACACCTGCCTCGTCCAGTGGCCCTACAATGCCCTAGGCAATCCCCTCTACATCAAAAAAATTTGATTAGAACTGACAACAAAAGTGCACAGATGACAGAACACCAATGGTAGTCAGGTATGTTTGTGCTAGGACACTGCATAACCAACAATGTCATAACACTGCCATTTGTGGGATCTGGCTGTGCACAAAAGTTGGCCATGGCATTTTTGAAACTGTAACACTTCAAGAGACCTTAATTTCTGAGATTGGGGCAGGTGATACATCAATGCAAGCTTTTCTTTAATAATCATTGGGTTATATATGAAACAGAATGGAGAGTGGAACAAAAATCTGAATACAGAGCTACCAGGTTATGTTGGAGAATGGTGGTTAGGAAGAATGAATACTAAAGAGTGGAGACAGTGATTGGACAGGGTGCAATCACACAGGGATGGGGAGTTAAGAAGGTGACTAAATAGCACACTTAAAAATGGCAATGGACAGCCTATTGGAAAGATTCAACAAACAAACAAAGTCTCCTCTGAATAAACTGATTCTCTGTTCTCTTCCCCAACCAACTGACCTTCATTTAAATTATTCACCATCAGTTGGCTTGCTTTTGATTTTTAAAATTTTTAACCTCCCACCTGAACCAAACCCCTCTGTTTCTGGGAGGTTAAAACAAACCTGACCTAGTTGTCTATTACTGGATGGCTCTACTGCTCAAACAAATGGTGAGATACAGGAAGCGGCTGGAAATCAGAACCTGGGATGACTCAAACTGGTTGGACAGAGCAGAACCTAACAGATTGTTTTAGAACACTTTGCCTTGATAGACAAACCATCACTAGCACTGGTAGATGGCATAAAATTGCCCCACCTGTCCAAATAGATTTAATAAGATTAAACTGTCCAACCTTACCAGGAGCTCCTCAATTGTTCTGAGCTGTTTTAAGGTTAATCGGTCATCTGCAGTTCAGGTGAAAATGGAACTTGACAACTGGCAGATCATTTCATATTGGAATCAGGCAGGGGCAAGCTGAAGAAGTGTGGGTGCATTGGAACAAACGGTGGAACCATTATATTTTGACTAACATTGAATAGTCTAGAATTGTAGATAAAGTGTACTTGTAAAGTCCTGTTGTCTGGTCACTTCTCCCAAGCTTCCTAACTGTCCTTTACATTACAGCCATTTGAAGATCAACCTGCTGAGAGATATTATTACATACCTGTGAAGCAGGGAGATTTGAAACGGAGCTTCCTAGTTTGAAGGTAGGGACACACTACCACTGCACTACATCAGCCCCTGCCCTTTACCATTATGGACTGATGCCATTTCCCATTCAATTTCTCTCATCTTTCTGCTACCACACAACTACAGCCTGTGGCTACTAGGTGCCACTCTAGAGTAGATTTTTATGCTGCCTCCCAGTTCCATCCTCACTCTCATAATTGCTGGGAGTTTTCTGCTTTTATTGCATTTTGCTGATAGATTTTACTGTCCTTATATTTCTTTATTCACTTACTGTTACCAAACTCCAATTTTCATCCCCCACGGGCTTCCAGCAACATGTCACTCTGATGAAGATAATTACTTCAATACTGATTAATCAAATCTTAACCAGTTAAATAAACATGCGCCTGACTAGTCAGATTAACCGAGGACAAGCCAAGCAATTCAACCGATATCTACAAAGGAATGTTAGGGGCCCTTATGGCACAATGGTAGTGTCCCTGCCTCTGGGGTCAGGAGGCCTGGATTCAATTCCCACCTGCTCCAGGGGAGTGTCATAGCATTTCTGAACATGTGGATTAGACAATAAGCAAATAGAGAGAGATTAGATGAGGAATGTTTAGGAACTACCTTTAATGCACAGGATGGTGCTCTTATTTACAAGACCTTTGCGTGGTTGGGATAGGTGTGCATGTGTCAGTCTTTTCCACGTTTAGCTCTGAGAAACACAAGACATATTCCTTTCCTATTTCTTTCATACCTTAAATTTATGATCAGCAATAACTCCAAATTTTTCTCATCTTCAAACTGTAAACATTATACGCATTCAAAAACTGCCATTTACCAAAAATACTATTCTTCCTTATCAATACACAACAGGAATATTTCCCTCCAAAAAGACAAGAAGTTCAATCTCAGGGGTCTTTGATATAAACTGCAGCTTGAATCACAAACACTCGCGTTCGCAAAGCCTCCATTAATACAACGGGTAGTTTCGTCCTTCAGGGAAATGGATTAAGCAGCTAGATTATTTAAACTGTGATTGTGACATTACATAATCCAGTATTTCAGATGAGATTTATTTGAAAATTATACTTTGTATAACCTACAAAATGTTACAGAATTAACAGCACAAAAACATGCCATTCAGCTGAAATGGCCCATGCTGGTGCTTGTGTTCCATATGAGCTTCCTCCCTTCCTGTATCAAGTAACTCTGAATAAGGTCATAACCCTTCCTCCCTCACTTAAGGGGAGGCAATGGTACAGTGCTATTGTCGCAATCCAGACACAAAGATAATAATCTGGGGATCCGATGTCAAATTCTAATGGCAGGTGGTGGAATTTAAATTCCATAAAATCTGGAATTAAAAGTCTAATGATGACCATAAAACCACTTGTCAACCGTCATAAAAACCCATCTGGCTTGCTATTGCTCTTTAGGGAAGGAAATCTGCTGTACTTACCTAGTCTGGCCTAAATGTGATTCCAGATCCAAAGCAATGGGGTTGGCTCTTAGCAGTTCGCTGGAATGGCCATAAGTGCCACTCAGTTGTATCAAACCACTAAAGAGCATCAAAAAAATGAAACTGAATGGGTCACCTGGCATGGACTCTGTCCCTGAAGGCATTTTAGGTATATCTACACCAAATGGATTGCTTGGTTCATATGAGCTCACTTCCATCTTCTCAAGGCCAACTTTGGATGGGCAATAAATACTGGCCCTGCCCGCATACCCACATCTGATTAAATTAATAAAGTAAATTTACTTTTTGTCTTCTAATTAAATGCAACTCAGCTATTTACCTAAACACATCATTTACATCCTTCAGTAAAAATCTCCAAAAACAAAATCAACTAGAACTAAGTTTTGTAGCAATTCGATAAACTCTAACTTTGGGTCTTAAAAATGTTGACGAGACTGAACCTGAGCCCTGCTCTTGTCGCTAACTCACTAATCTATCATTGTTCAATGAAATAAACAGAAAGCAGTGGCTTTATAACAATGAGGTCTTGTATAAAAGGTGATTTGTGAGCAATATATTCCACAAGCAGGTGAACTTTTCTCCTCTGTCAATACATCTACCAATTGGAAACATCCTCCCGCTGTTGCTTCTTCAGTTAATCCCAATGGTCATTTGCCTCTAGCATTCCAAACTGTTTTTGCAGTGATGGAAAAAAAACTCTTCAAGCCCCTGAATTTTATTAATGGGAGCAGAAACTTGCACAGAAATTACAGTTAATCCAGAGTCAGAGTCGTACAGCATGGAAGCAGACATGGTCCAACTCAGCCATGCAGACCAAGTTTCTCAAACCAAATTAGTCCCACCTGCTAGCACTTGGCCCATATCCTTCTAAACCTTTCCTAATCATGTACCTATCCAAATGTCTTTTAAATGTTGTGACTGTACCTGGATCTACCACTTCCTCTGGCAGTTTGCTCCACATAGAACCACACTAAAAACAAAAAAGTTGTCCCTTACATTCCTTTTGAAATCTTCCTCCTCTCACCTTAATATGCCCCCCTAGTTTTGAACTCCCCCAGCCTAAGGAAAAGATCTTTGCTATTCACCTGATCTATACCCCTCAAGATTTTATAAACTGTGCGGAAGTGAACACAGTTCAACAATGGCACTCTGCTATAGTGACTCTGATTTCATAAAATGATGAATATTGTTACAGCCATTAACATGGGCTATAGCTCACGCTACCAGATTTCAAATTTCAGCCAGTAACTTCCATAATCTCATACCTGAGACAGGATGTTGGTACACTGCTGGAGCAGAGAGACAGGAGGATTGCCAAGGCTGGTTGCCAGTTGTACCCTGAGCAGCTGTTCCTTTTGGATGGAGTTATCCTGCAGAGCATGTGCCAATGCTACAGCTGCACACCAGTTAGAGAGGGAATCTGTAGAGAAGAGGCCCCCACATAGCAGCTGGCCAGCTGAAATGGAATTGGCTAAACAAAGAAAGCAAAAAAAGCCCCAAATTTGAACAAGTCATCATGGAATGAAAGTGATACTCAAAAATGGAATTCTTGAAGGACAATGTATTTCTTAGCATATATTTTTCATTAGAAATACTGTCACAACTTCACTGAAAGCAAATAACTATTAGTAAGAAGTCTGTTATAAATGCAGAATGCATAACTGTTTTTAAACTTCAATTGAAACTTCATCAAAAAAAACTTTGCTCACACTAATGAGGTTATGACTTATATTTAAGAAGACTGGGTAAACATTTGAAATACTACGACATGATTAAATGCAGAAGAATGCAAGATAAAAAAAAAATCGGAGAGGGAGAAATACCAGTTAGCTCCAATACTGAATGACCTGCTCCTGTGCTGTAATATAAAGAATGAAATTCTTACAAATAGGAGTTATTCAGCACAATGACCCTAAACCTCTGGTCTTTCTCCTCAATTTATTTTTTAAAATATATTCATTCAGTTCCTTTTTAAATCTGTTTCCATAACTGTTACCAGTAGGGCCTCTTGGTCTAAATAATCCTCTGTAATAAAACCTGCTCTTTTAATGTCAATCCCAAAATTAACAAACCAGTTACGAACCAGTGTTTGGGGGTTATGATCTGGGGTCCATCACCAAAAATGTGGAGGAGGCACATTCAATTCAAAATGACATTAGATGATAACTTACATAGAAGCAATGCACGTGGTTACAGGGGTGGAGTGGGGAAATAGCATTAAGTCATGATGCTTATTTAGAACAAAAGCAAAACACTGAATTCTAGAAATCTGAAATAAAAACAAAGCGCTGGAGAAACTCAGCAGGTCTGGTAGCATCTGTGGAGGGAGAAACAGAGTTAATGTTTCAAATCCAATGATTCTTCTTTGGAGCAAAGTTAAAAAGTCATATTGTACTCAAAACTTTAACTGTTAACTGCCAAACCTGGGGAGTTTCTCCAGCACTTTCTGTTTTTATGCTTGTTTGGAAAGCCAGTGTAGACATGTTGGCCTAATGGCCTCCTTCTGCACTTTACCAACTTTGGTTCTGTGATTCAGTGGAAATGGTTTTGTGCTTAATAACTTTACCAAAGCCCAATGTAATTCTGAGCGTTCCTAAAGAACCTTCTGCGAACTGCAATGTTCGAGAGGTAGGCAGCTTGTTTATTACGGTGTCTTCACAATGGAGTACTCATCATGGTTACTATCAAGCTGAGTATCTTCTAAACCCACCCTTTGTTCTGACATCCTGCCTAGAGGAATGCTTCCAAAAACTGGAGACAAATTATTTAATGTAACTGCTTAGCTCCTCCTTTTAGCTTTTTACTTTATGGTCATTTAATTCTTCCATCCACTGCATTCTCTCCCAAGAAAAGGAAACAGTTTTAGTAACTTGACCCCTCACTTCAAGGATCTGCATATCTCAACCTACACTGGAGTTTCTTGGCTATAGCATGTTGTGGAAACTTACCATCAATAGTTGCTGGCAGAAGTGTGGCAACAATCTCTGCTTGTCCTTTTTGGTTTTTGTACAAGAAACATTGGAAACAGTATAGCACAGCACAACGCAGGACAAATGGCTGCCTTTCATTCACCATGGACATCAGAAGCACTACAATTGCAGGCCTGTGTTGGATAAGTAGTTTTTATTTAAAAATCAGACAAACTTCATAAAAAGGGAGCTTTTAAGAACACTACTTTCAAAACTCAAATGTTGTTGGAAATTTGACTCAGAATGTAGTTGGGCATTAACAAGGTAACAGTGCACTAAGTTCAGAATGCACCTCTTCAGTAATTGCACCCTTTGGGGCCCATCTGCTGCATTTTGCTCTTTAGCGAGGTGCAAACAGTCCAGAGCTTTTTCTAAATATTTAGAGCATGTCCAGAACTTGCATTTGTGTCAAAAAATGTTCAGATCACAGCATTAATACAAATCACAATGGGATTTAATCACACTGCCACTGGCAGAAATGTGCATTTTCCTATGTGCCAGAGTCGTGCATTAGTGTGTCCTTCCAATTTCAAAACTTTGTTTGCATTTTGAAACAGAAGGCTTTGAAACCAATAATACTGACTTACAAAAGCAATTCAATCTGAATCCAATTAATATAGCAACATTATAGACAGCACTGTGCACCATAATGTCCGGTCACTACACTTTCATCAAACCAACAACATACAAACATGTATTCTGACTTATAATTTTCAGGCACGGCAAGTGAAGGTTCAAAGCAGAACTAAATTGCAACTGTTTACAAGAAGGTAAGTAGCTTTGCAGACCTCAACAAGTAAGATGAGTGCAAAATTAAAAACTTTTGATTATTTTTCCAAATCCTGCTTACCTTGGCGGATTGGAGGGTGCATTCACAGAAGCAAAATAATCCTGGTTTACCTGGGACCCTCTGATAACTTCAGATACTGTGTTAATGGTCTGTATAAACAAAATCAAAATGTCACAGGTACTGTAAATGCAATATGTATAACAATAACCAGCCTTTAAATGCCATCTTTATTTTGTAAGTATACTTTGTGATGCAGGTGATGTACTTTAATAATGAACAAAAGCACATTTTTAACTCTAACCTCAACATGAGCTATCCATTGGTCAAATACAACACAGTTAAATGCCAAGAACCTCAGGTGAGAGGATTAAAGACATGCTGGCTACATTTTCAGATGACACAAAGATAGGTAGGAAAGTATATTGTGAAGATGATATAACAAAGATGCAGATGATATAGAAAAGTTAAGTGAGTGTTGCTAAGTTTGCCAGGAAGAATTAAAAAAAAGTATTATTTGAATGGAAACATAGAAAATAGGAGGAGTAAGCCATTCAACCCTGCTCACTCATTCATTGTGTTCATGGCTGATCATCCAACTCAACAGCCTGATCTCGCTTTTCCCTCAAATCCTTTTATCCCTTTAGCCCCACGTGCTATATCCACCACCTTGAGATCATACAATGCTTTGGCCTCGACTGCTTTTTGTTGTGGTAATTCAACAGGCTGTCTGGGTGAAGAAATTTCTCATTTCAGTTCTAAATGGTTTACCCTGTACCATCAGACTGTGACCTCTGGTTCTGAACCCACCCGCCATCAGGAACATTATTCCTGCATCTACCCTGTCTAATTTTACACACTTCTATGAGATACCTGCCTCGTTCTTCTAACCTCCAGCAAACATAATCCTAACCAATTTATTTTTGCCTCACGTCAGTCCTATCATCCCAGGAATCAATTTGGTAAGCTGTCGCTATGCTCCCTCTATAGCATCTTATATCCTTCCTCAGCTAAGGAAATTAAAACTGCACATCACGTTCCAGGTCCAATCTCACCCAAGGCTCTATATTTGCAGCAAGTCTTCCCTGCTGCTTTATTCAGATCCTTTGGCTGCAAAGGCCCCAACATACCATTTGCCCTCTTTACCACCTCTAGCACTTGCATGGTGAACTACGGCAGAATTTCAGAAGCGCAGAGGGATGCAAGTGTTATAAGTTCATGAGTCACAAAAAAATTGGCATGCAGGGACAGCAAGTGATTAACATGGCTAATGGGATGCTATCATTTATTCTAAGAGAAACAGAACATAAAATGAAGGATGTTATGCTTCAGTGATACAAAGTACTGGTGAGACCACATCTCAGGTACTGTGTGTAGTTTTTGTTTCATTATTTAAGAATGGATATAAGAATGAGGAGCAATGTTAATGCAACGTACAAGATCCTGAGCAGTCTTGACAAGGTAGATGGGAAAAAATGTTTATCCTTGTAGAAAAGCCGAGAAGTAAAGGACTCTAGAATTAGGGGTCACCTTTAGGACAGAGATGAGGGACTTATTTTTCTCAAAAGGGTTGTGCATCTTTGTAAATCTCTGCCTAAGAGGACAGTGGAAGCAGCGTTATTAAATATTTTTAAAGGTGGAGAGAGACAGATTCCCTTGAATAACAAGAATCTAAGATAATTGCGGCAATGTGGCATATGGAACACAAACAAATCAGGCATGATCTTAAGAATACAGTACGGCTCCAATCACAAGAGAAGAGCTAACAGTCCAGCATGATATGCCATTTACCTCCTCCAGTAATTTATTGATCTTGAGGAGTAAGTTTAGCACAATACTAAATCAGGCAAGATGACACCAAAGTCGGTGGAGTTGTGGAGTGGATGACACCAAAGTCGGTGGAGTTGTGGATAGTGCGGAAGGATGTTGCAGGTTACAGAGGGACATAAATAAGCTGCAGAGCTGGGCTGAGAGGTGGCAAATGGAGTTTAATGCAGAAAAGTGTGAGGTGATTCACTTTGGAAGGAGTAACAGGAATACAGAGTACTGGGCTAATGGTAAGATTCTTGGTAGTGTGGATGAGCAGAGAGATCTCGGTGTCTATGTGCATAGATCACTGAAAGTTGCCACCCAGATTGATAGCGTTGTTAAGAAGGCGTACTGTATGTTAGGTTTTATTGGTAGAGGGATTGAGTTTCGGAGCCATGAGGTCATGTTGCAGCTGTACAAAACTCTGGTGCGGCCGCACTTGGAGTATTGCGTACAGTTCTGGTCACCGCATTATAGGAAGGATGTGGAAGCATTGGAAAGGGTGCAGAGGAGATTTACCAGGATGTTGCCTGGTATGGAGGGAAGGTCTTATGAGGAAAGGCCGAGGGTCTTGAGGCTGTTTTCGTTAGAGAGAAGAAGGTTAAGAGGTGACTTCATAGAGACATACAAGAGGATTAGATAGGGTGGACAGTGGCAGCCTTTTTCCTCGGATGGTGATGGCTAGCACGAGGGGACATAGCTTTAAATTGAGGGGTGATAGATATAGGACAGGATGTCAGATGTAGGTTCTTTACTCAGAGAGTAGTAAGGGCGTGGAATGCCCTGCCTGCAAAAGTAGTAGACTCGTCCACTTTAAGGGCATTTAAATGGTCATTGGATAAACATATGGATGATAATGGAATAGTTTAGGTTAGATGGGCTTCAGATTGGTTTCACAGGTCGGTGCAACATCGAGGGCCGAAGGGCCTGTACTGCGCTGTAATGTTCTACGTTCTATGTTCTACATTGGCTCTGGCCAATGGAAAGCAAGGCTTCCCAAAATTATTTCTTGTAGCCAGACGATCTCTCCCACAGAACAATAAGTTCATAAAAGCAGGACAATATACTCCCATTCCTGTTTATGTTCCCATCAGTCTGGCCTGGATTCAAAGGCCAACACCCACCTAGAAACTGACACCTTCCTTTTACAAGTTGGAAAGAGATTACCCCAGCTGATCCCATCTCTCTCTTGCCTTGAGGTGAAGGTAAATAGAATATGCATTTTATAAGTTACATCTGACTGGAACTGGGATCAAAGTTCTGGGAATACATAACTGTAGAATATGCAAGGCGTTCCTACATTTCCCTTAGGAAAATTCAAGGAACTCTACTGCACTTTAAACTGAAGTTTCATATCAGACTCGAAACATTAACTCTTTCTCTCTCTACAGATGCCGCCAGACTAATTCCTGCAGCATTCTCTGTACTCATTGCACTTTTAACTAATACCTCCTTACAAATAATTTAGCTGTTCAAAAATATTAACAGCAACATATTTAATATTGCAGCTCCACCACCACTAAATATTATGCTTTTAATGTTTCAGGTATCTTCCTCACACAATGTGTAAAGTATTAAATCAGTTGTTAACATTTTAGTACCACACTCAAATGACAAATAATGTTCATTCAACATAACCCTTTGGTAAACCACTCAGATTCTGGCAATTTTCAGGAATGTCCCAATGAGTCCAGTTTTAATTTAAATTTTCATATTTTAATTTGTACCACAACCTTATATAACCTAATAGAGGTCCTTAAAGTAATGAAGCTGCTTGATAGGGTTAATATAGAAATGTGTCCACTGGAGGGAGAGAGCTGAACTCAGAGTCTACCAATATTAGATACTCTCAAACAAATCTAATAAGGAACTCAGGAGAAACTTATTTACTAGAGTGTGGTGAGAACATGAAAGTCATGCCCACATTAAATTACTGAAACAAATGGCATAGATGCTTCTAAAAGGGCAAGTTAGATGCATAACTGAATTGTATATTAATTATGTGTTTAATTATATTTAAATGCTGGGCTTCAACTGGGATGGTTATATATATTATAGCTAGGAGCAGGCTACAGACTGACACACTGACACTGGTTTGGAGGTGCACAACATATAATGTATCGCTTTATCGACTCACAAGCCTGTAATTGCAGAGGCTCGGCTCCAATTCTAGCTGACACTGCCTCTTCATTGGATTGCGTATTATAGTAGTAGGATATGTTGATCAAATGACTTAAAGACGTGAGGAGGTTTACGTGGAGCTGCTAAGTTTGAATGTCCTGCCATTTGTGTCTCAAACCAGCACTAACTCACCTCAGTGAGAATGTCAGCAGGAACTCCAGTTGCCATCAAGATGGTGCACAACTGCTGTAACAAACCACACTGGAATGCTGACTTCTGGCAACTGCTTGTAGCACCAGGTGGATTCACAGGGGACACCAGCACTCTCACCAGCTAAGATCAAAAAGCAGAGGAAAGTTCACCAATTAACTCCACAGGCAGAAAGATAGTTCCTGAGTTGTGGTAAGTTCTCTTTTCACAAAATGTGTTCTTGAACAGAATTTGTTCTTTCAACCAGTCATAGTGTAAAATGCAGAAAACATATTTTGAAATTTTAGTTGCAAGCAGCATCCCATCATGTGAAAATGACTAAATTTCCCAAGCAAATGACAAGTCTAAATTATATGTCTTGACTGAAGCATAAAGTTCAAAATGATCTGATCCTTAAATATATTAGCAAATACAGCACTTCAACTGGTTAGAGGAAGATACTACCAGGTCACTCAAGAACTATGTTCTAGAGGTACAGGTGTGGATTTGGTAATTGTAGTAAAGGTGGTGGCTGGGGTTGGGCCCTATCTTCACAGGCGACTGTGATGACAGGGTAACATGATGAGTGTTAACCATAGTTCAGATTTTAGCATTCAACTTCTGAATCAGTGACTTCTTAGTTTCATTCACATTCCAGGACTTCAGTACAAACCCAAGCTGACACTTCACTGAAGTACTGAAGGGGTGCTGCACTTTCTGAAGTGCCATCGTTCAGATGAGATGTTAAATTGATGCTCAAGGGAGATGCAGAAGATTCCATGGCACAATTGTGAAGACCAGCAGGGCAGTTAACATCATGAAAATATTACCTGTGCAAGTTAGCTGCCATGCTTTCTAAATTATAACAAAGATGTCACTTCATGTTTAATCAGCTGTAAGATATTTTGCTATGTTCTGAAGTCTCAAATTCATTTTAAAAATCAGATTTAAGAACTAAACTAGCAAAACTCTTCAAAAGACTTATATTAAAAGTAGTTATTCTCAAATAGTTTTGAGTTTTGGCTTGCTATCAGTTCTGAATTTTATGGAGAGAGAAACACATCAAGATTGCATCAATTTAAAAATCAATGTGGTATATATATTCGGAATTATCCAAGGACAACATCAATTAAGGTAACAGAACAACAACGGATAAAGTAAAATCAATATAGAAGGACAATGACATGAACTTCTCTCTCGTGACTATGCTTCTTTGAAAAACACACAAGTATGTAAAAAACAGGTCAGTAGTCATTAATGTCTGATGATTATTTGACAGATTTCAAGATGGACAAAGTAACCGATGAAATAGCCACACACCTCAAATGAAATATGAAGAGGCCTAAAAGAGAAACTGAGCTGTCACTCTGCAAAATGATCAAAAAAAGGGGAACAGAAACAGATTGCAAGGTCACCATGATCAAGGTGGCAGCATTGATGAGGTATCAGTCAAAACAGTTTCGTTTTTAGGAAAGTAACAGGCATGAATCAGGGGATTGAAGATGTCCAGATTGTTCAACAACGGTAGGGCTGAATGAACCAACCCAACATGCAGGAGTGTACCAATGGGCTGCTCTGTTATTGTTGGAAGTGCTAGTTTTCAAAATCCGCAGCTGTGGCCAACCTACATCTGCCTTTTCAACTAGCTGTAAGAAAGGATCTCATGGCATTTCTGAACTGCCAGGAGCTTTCCCCCAAAGTCTTGGTTGCTACTCATCCTTCACGATACAAAGGGAGTAACTACATACTTGCATGACTACTGTCTGAAATCTGTCTGAAGTACAGCAGCTGCTGTACTTAATGACAGACGACTTATAATTGAAAAGTAACCAGTGAAACAGTACTTTTGAAGTGTTTTGAGGTTTTTGTAAAGAAATTTTACCTGTAGCATCAGGTGGAGATTTGTCACTTTCTGTGCAGACCAACCCGAATTGTCTTCAGCAACCTCAAACCAAGGCTTCATGCGTTGAATGTATGAACCCTCTTTGAAAAAATTTTGATTTGAACTATTGTTCTTCATCAAGTTAAGCAGCAGCAAAAGGCAATCTTCAACAACAATACCTGAAATACCCAAGACAATTAATAAAATTCCTTTCTGACATTAAGTATGTTTAAGTTATAAAGTGTCCTGAAGTATACTCTATTCAATGTATAGAATTGCAATGGAATCAGGTGAGGACTAGCTCACACTGCTGTTCAGCCTGTGTGTGACTCAAGACCCATAACAATATAGCTGACCCTCAAGATGTCCTATAATGGTCTAGCAAGCCAGTCAGTTGTTATGAAGGAAGTTGATCACCACCTTCCCAAGGACAATGAAAATTGGCTTTGCCAGTAATACCCAGATCCTATGAATAAAAAAAAAAATCAATCTTCCCTTTTACAGTCCTTACCTACTTACGATTTTAAGATTTATATTAGACTGTGAATCTACAGAAGACCCCACTGCTTCTCCATTCCCTTTAAAGTGCGCATCCTTCCAGTATTCTTCAAGGCAAAAAGCATTACTTCATATTTCTCTGCATAGTATTTCATCTGCCATCCATTATTCAATCTGGCAGCACTATTGGTGTTTTTCTACAGGTCTAATCAATATATAAGACTTTCCGACATAGTAGCAACATATTTTGATATTGCTTTGTCAACTCCCAAGTTTGGGTCAATTTTGTAAATGGTAATAGCTACATCGAAATCAAAGCTTAATGACCCTCATCAATACAGTCATTTTATCCTACACTTTTTTATTCTTCAGTGGTCTACTTCACTAAATTGCATTGGCTTTGCCACCAAGTATCTTGTGATATCTTAAGCACTTCTTGAAAATTAATACAACTTCATTTCTTCCATTTCTTTAAAGGCTTCTGTGCGGCTACTTAAATGTGAAACTCCTTTCAAAAGCAATGCTCAGTCTTGATTAACTTCACTCCAAATACCTGGTCATTTTATAGCTAAACTTTTCCGGCCTATGCCCATTCTTTGTGAAGTGAGATGTCACAAGTTTCCTTTTTGACAGAATTTTGGAAAGTTCAGTTGGACCTTCCTCCATTTCTCACAATTCCTTCAGATGGAAAGCACCAAATCCTCGTGATAAGTTTGAATAGCTTCTTCAGCAACATACTATTTACCATTAAGTTAAAGCCTCCACTAACAATTCCACACCCATTTCAAATGTTTCTGCAATCGCAATGTCCAATTCCTCTGAAAAAAACCGAGGCAAAAGTTCTGATTTAGTGTCTGCCATCTCCTTATCTTCTGTGAGGTTGTTAAATTACAATTCATTAACAGAACATGCAGTAATGATTCGACAAATGAGAATACCAAGGCAAATCTTGTTTTGTAGCAATTTCAAGATTCTCAAATCAGAAATATTCCAATTGAAAATGGAAAAAGAAGAATGCATCAGAATTGCAATGACTTTCAGTAAATTATTTTGTTAAATTAAATTTTGAAATGAAAGGTAAATTGTCAAGCAAACTATGCATCATAAATTCAGCAACTCAGTAACTATAACTGAAAAACAACAATCTGTGGCCATTTGTATTTTCAGGAAAACAAACATGGCTTGTTCAGTAATTGTTTCTGCTTAGGTTCAGGAATACCTCCATCACTCATCCCCTCTTCAGTGATAATATCCAGCAGGCGTTCAAAGGCATTTTCAAAAGCTACAATCTTCTGAATGGCTGCATTAGCTTTCGTTAATTGCTGGAGCAAGAGGAGACCCTGGAGGAATAAAAAGATGCATTGACTACTTCCTTCTCTCCCTCTCCTATTTTAGCAGTACCATCAACTGAGACACAAAATGACAATATCTGCTTCGTTGATTTGTCCTGGTTCTAAGCCAAATTTAGTACAAAAATAAACAAATCTGTGGTACTGTTTGTAACAGATGATTCAGCACACTATCCTTTAAAGCCTCAAAGACAGAAGCAAGCATTGGAAAAATACTTTGAGCTATCCCACATGAGATAGTAGAAAAGTCTAGTTTGAATGGACAAGAAACAAAACTAACATTGGAAAGGGTACGACATTTTGAAAAAAAAACAGGCAATGAATAAAATATCAAGTATCTTCCGTCACTGGTTGCTTTCAATATATATACAGTTGTGCAGTGCAAGACTATCGAAAATATTTAGCATTCAATAAGTAACTACAACTTTTAGGTGATCAGAAATCTTGCAATTTGTGAGACGTGTTACAATGTTGGCCATTACACAGCCACAATTGAACACTGCTGAAAGTAGATTTCTAAATACAGAAAGAGAACCAGGATCTATAGCCATTGGTATTCTGCAAGGTCAGCATTGTACCTTTCTGTAGGAAAAGGTGCACAACCAACAATCTATGAAAATAATCTCTGCATTCACAGTGCATCAGTATCATACAAAAATTGTCATCAAATCATCTCATCACATAAATGGAATTCAGAACTCCAGCGTGATCCACACGAGTGCACACATAACAGCCAAAGCATGCATCCCTGTATTGAGTGATGAAATTATTTTCATCTTTCCTGAAAAGAAATTTAAAATATGCTGTACCTATTTCCACAAGCTAACTAAAACTCTAGTTATATAATAAACTAAACGTGGATTACTTTTTCTTCGAGAAAACACACAAAATTGTCACTGGCCCGCATCATGGACATTTCTGGCTCTGTGCAACTGAAGTGTTGTGGTCAGAATGCGTGCCTTCAAAGGTAGACCCCTCAGACACAGCAGACAGCAGGCAACGTTAGCAATGGATCCTGCATCATCAGGGAAAGATTAACAAACCAAACCAAGTTTCTATTTCAAACCCACAAACAGAAATTTAAGCAATAGCCTCAAGGTCATCTTGCTGCTCTCTAATTTCCATGCCGCTTACATTTTGAAGTAACAATGTTACACATGTCTATCGTAATTTATTAGAAATGGAACATGACTCTGGGCTCACGCTAACCACGTTAGCGAATGCACGCTTGGTAAAGTTCATGCTCAGTTTTGTCTCTCACATTCAAGGTTGTGACTTCAATAGATGATACTTACATCATTGCGAATCACTTCTCTCGAATCTGCGAGCAAATCCATCATCCTGGACACACCTGTACATTAACATTCAGAGTAACATTAACTTTCTAAAAAGAGTTAGTACTTTTATACCTCATACAAATTGAGCAGCATCTTCAGAAATGAATATTACCTACTGCACACAATAGACTCTCCCAAGCAGTTCATATTTTATTGAACACATTCACACTAAATATAGACACTCCCCTCTGCAAGCACAGAAGAAGATATTCAATACTTATACTTCTGTTCATTCCAGAAATGTCTTAAATTCCTTAACTCATTTTTGATTCTAGATGGAGACTTGTGAAGTGGGCCTGAGAGATAAAAACCAGTGGCAGAGAGTCCCTTCAACCAGTCAGAGGCAATGGAAAACAGGTAGCTGAGTATTACTTCTGTGCCTCTTTTGATTGGGAAGTAGTTTATTACCGTTCAAGAGTGCAGTTAAGAAATTCACTTTTCAAATTTTAATTAATTAAACTAAATGTAGATGCCCAGGCATCTACATCTTGCATCTGTTGTACATGGGAGCTGGTGTACACTGGCGTGATCCACGGTGATCACATTTGCAGCAAGTGTTGGCTGCTTCAGGAACTTGGGCTCAGATCTGATGAGCTAGAATATGAGCTGCAGAGCTTTCAGGTTGGAAAGACAACTAGTGCCTCAATTATTTACTCCCTATATTCATGACTTGGAAAGATGCTGCAGAATCTAAGGTGTACAAATTTGCTGACAATCCAAAAATAGGTGGGAGGGCTCAATGTGATGAGGACATAAGGAATTCGGCAAAGGAATATAGTTGGGTGGATTGAATGGACAAAAAATGTGGCAGATGGCGTTTTGTTCAAGGTTATTGAGTCAAGAACCAGAGAACTTAGAGACTGATTAAAACAACTTGCAATTGTCACAGCTGCAAGATCTAGGGTTACTTGTATATTTGAGTAGATCATGTATCATTTAGCAAAAAAAAATGTTGGCATGAAAATAGGTCATAGACAGTGCCACATCTAGAATATGTAACTTTTTTGATGAACAGTGAAACATCATCTACTTTTGCTAAATGTTTGGCTATCCTTTTTGATGCTTTCATAAAAGTATTTTTTCCTCCAGAGAATTTAACAATTATCAATTATTCTATGTTTCAAAATTAAGGAATATTTAGATTTTGACCATTAATATGGATGAAATTAAACTATAGTAATGTGCTTCAGTTTAATTTTATCCTGGGTTTATGAAATTTCTCTACCTGTTCCAACTTTAACCTCTTATGCAGTACTCAAGAGTAAACCATGTCCTTACCCATTGGGCTGACAAGGATAATCTGTTGAACTTGTGGACCTTGATTTTTTAGAAGTGCAGTTAGAAGTTTCACTGCAGGCCAGCGCACATGAAAATCAAATTCCTGAAAACAAACAAATTAATTTTAACATGCCAAAAAGCTTAAAATAGTTTGTGGCGTATAATGGTAAAATGAAGCACAGATAGGAAAGTCTTTCAAGAGGTAAATCAAACATAAAACAAATTGTGAGTATATTCAGGCTAGGGTCAAAGATGCTTTAACTGTAGCCAATTGAGGAGATACCAAATAGCAGCTGGAGTAGCAGGCTCTGTGCTGAACAACGAGACAGTAGGAACAAAGTAACAGGCAAGAGTGAAGCAAAACAAAAATTATGTATCCTCTTCAGATCAGAGTTACAGACTAAACAGACACTCAATTAAAAGCATTACAATTTTGTCTCTGGGCATTCCTTTACAGATTGTCACACCTCCCCGAGGTAACGCACCAGAAATCGAATTCCTGGAGACATCACAGAAGTTAAACATTTTAAGTACAGAAATTTCCTCAACTGACCAGAGTTTCAGACCCAGACTGATAGAAAGCTTGGACGAGGTTTCTGTACTGAACAAGAGTCCCTGTTTATTACATGAAATTAGACTTTAGCTACAGGTAAATAGTTATAAACTATTGGTATATAATACGAAATAAAATTCTAATCCCCTTGTAAACTCTCCCTTACACATGGGCAAACAATCAGATAGGGCTAAATAGGTTAAGGACAGAGGGGAAAACTGGAAAGAAATTCAGTCACCTTTTCCCCAGGTTCTGTTGGCAAGATGAGCTTTGTGACTCTTCTGCCAGTCAGTATGTTGTCTTAGTAAGCTTTCTCTGGATGCTTCAACTGGTTGATGCGAGACACCAGGTGACCATTCCCTTAAAAGGTCTCTGACATATCAGTTAAAAGTCAGCTTACAACAACTGTTGTAGGAAACAAACTGATTTTCTTCAGGTATACTGTGAGTTTTTGACTGCAGAGAACAGAGACACTGCTCCCAGGCAGGGAATGAACTGAACACTTCTCTGTAACTTGTTCCAAACTCTAAGCTGTTCAGTTACCCGAGAACCAATCACACAACTGTTGGCAAGCAAAAAAGGCCTCTGTCGTTGAGAACTGGTCACTAGTCCATTGACCAATCAACTTGGTGTTGCAAGCAAAAGTTGCATCTGCGCACCACCTTAGCTCCAAATTCTCTGCAACTCATACCACAATTACTCCTTCTTCAAACAGTTGCTTACAGGATGCCTGAATGAATTCAGGTTACTTGCTTTCAAAGTAACAAGTAACACTGGCTTTTAGAACAGTTCTCTCATTTCAGTCCACAGTTTTTAAAAACTCCAAAACAAAAAGACCTGGTCCTTATAAGATGAAGATTGTAGGAAGTTTGTACTCATTTTGCAGATCCGGTGCTGGATATTCCAGCCTTTTGATGATCAGCCAGATTCTCCCACAGCGGGTGCAAGTGAAGGTGGAGTCACTGCTGCGGACGGTTGAACCTAACTTTCTTTTTTCTGTCATGCCAGCTCGAGTTCAATTGCAATGGTGACTGAAGCACACCTAATGCAGCATCACTATCTATGGCCTACCTTCTGGCAATGGTCAAAAGTGGCACATACAGAGGGATTTCTTCAGTGAATCCTTGAACTACTTGCAGGAGGTGCCTCTGTTCCCTTCAACAGTGGTCAACTCTCCACACAACACATCTTGCAGCAGGTGATTACCATCCACCTGGGCAATTTAACATGCCCAAGCCAATTAGATTTGCAGGAGAATGGCTTTGAGGCTGGTGATGTTGGCTGTTTCTAGGACTTCAACATTTGAGATACATTCTTGCCAGAAGATCGAGAGATATTGTGGAGGCTGCTTTTGGAATTGCTCTAAAAGGCATACTTCGTGGTGGCAAAGGACCCATGACTCAGCACCATCCAGATGTGTGGTCAGAACTATGGCTTTGTATAGTTTGAGTTCAGTCTGTGCTCGGAGGCTGTAATATGCTCTTTTTTTTAAAAAAATCAGTGTGACAAACTCAGGGAAGGAGACAGAATCAGCACAGACTGTGAACAGTTGGCACAGCACAAAATAGACAAAAGCACTTTTTGCTGACACAATATTTTAAAATTGGACACTGGACAGTGATGAGCAGGTATATTTCTTCGGTCTCAGGATATTGCTGAAGGATATCCTAGGCTGAACCCAATTCAACTACTTTATCAAGGACTTTCCCTTCATATTAAAAAGTTCCCAAATGTGGATGTTTACTGATGCTTGTAAAATATTCCATTCATGACTTCTCAGATACTGAGTGGACCATGCCAGCATTCAGAAACACCTGAAAATACTGAGGCTTAGGTTCATTAAGTGACAGCAAATGCCTAGGAATGACCGCCTGACTCTCCAAAGCCTGTCCACCATCTACAAGGCACAAGTCAGAACAGCGATGGAATACGCTACACTTGCCTGGATGGGTGCAGCTCCAACACTTAAGAAGATCAATGTCCGTCAGGTCACAGCAGCCTCACTTATTGGCACACATCACCAAAGTGCAGTAGCAGTACTGTCTACAATCTGCAACGTACAATTCAACAACTTGCCAAGCCTCCCATGACAGTAGCTTCCAAACCCATGACCTCTAACACCTAGAACGTCAAGGATAACACATACAAGGAAACACCATGTACACATCGTGAGCCACACACTAACGTGACTTGGAAATTTATCACTAGTCCTTCAACATCAGAGTCAAAATCCTGGAACTTCCTCCCTAACAGAAGTGTGGGTCTACCATACCACATGGACTGAAGTAGCTCAATAAGGCAGCTCACCACCCACCTTCTCAAGGGGCAAATCAGAATGGACAATAAATAATGCCTAACCAGCAACACCCACATTGCAGGAATCTAAAGTTAAGCATTCACCAAAAACACAGTTGCTGCAATTGAAATAAATCCAGCATAGTCAAAGTCCTAACATTGCAAAGTTCACAGATATCACTAAATTGGGTGGGAAAGCAGGCAGTGATGTGGAGATAAAGAACTTACAGATGGATATTGATGGGGCCAGAATCTAGCAAATGGAGTTTAATGCAGATAAGTGCGAGGTTGTCCATTTTGGCTGGGAGAAAAGGGCTAATTATTATTTAAATGGGAAGCAGATTCAAAGTTTGTCAGTGCAGAGGGATCTGGGCATATCTGTGTATGAATCTTAGAAAGCGGGTACGCAAGTGCTGCGCATAAGGCAAGTGGAACACTGGGATTTATTGCCAAAGGTCTGGATTATAAAAGGTAAAGAAGTGTTGTTACAATTGTAAAAGATGTGGGTGAGTAACCCACCCGAGATGTGGAACGAGTAACAGGAATACAGAGTACTGGGCTAATGGTAAGATTCTTGGTAGTGTGGATGAGCAGAGAGATCTCGGTGTCCATGTGCATAGATCACTGAAAGTTGCCACCCAGGTTGATAGCGTTGTTAAGAAGGCATACTGTATGTTAGGTTTTATTGGTAGAGGGATTGAGTTTCGGAGCCATGAGGTCATGTTGCAGCTGTACAAAAAACTCTGGTGCGGCCGCACTTGGAGTATTGCGTACAGTTCTGGTCACCGCATTATAGGAAGGATGTGGAAGCATTGGAAAGGGTGCAGGGGAGATTTACCAGGATGTTGCCTGGTATGGAGGGAAGGTCTTATGAGGAAAGGCCGAGGGTCTTGAGGCTGTTTTCGTTAGAGAGAAGAAGGTTAAGAGGTGACTTGATAGAGACATACAAGATGATCAGAGGATTAGATAGGGTGGACAGTGGGAGCCTTTTTCCTCGGATGGTGATGGCTAGCACGAGGGGACATAGCTTTAAATTGAGGGGTGATGGATATAGGACAGGATGTCAGATGTAGGTTCTTTACTCAGAGAGTAGTAAGGGCGTGGAATGCCCTGCCTGCAAAAGTAGTAGACTCGCCAACTTTAAGGGCATTTAAATGGTCATTGGATAAACATATGGATGATAATGTAATAGTTTAGGTTAGATGGGCTTCAGATTGGTTTCACAGGTCGGCGCAACATCAAGGGCTGAAGGGCCTGTACTGCGCTGTAATGTTCTATGTTCTATGAGACTACACCTGGAGTAGTGCGTCCCGTTCTCATCTCCCTACTTGAGTATGGATGTGCTGGCACTGAAGGCAGTTCAGAGGTGGTTCACCAGATTGATTCCAGGGATGAAAAGACTACCATACAAGGAGCAATTGAATAGCTTAGGCATATACCCGCAGGAATTCAGAAGAATGAGGGGGCAGTGCGGAATCTGATTGAGGTGTGAAAAATGCTAAAGGGGATTGATAAGGTGGACATGGAACAGATGCTCCCTGTTTTTTGATGAAGGGTCTAGGCCCGAAACGTCAGCCTTTCTGCTCCTATGATGCTGCTTGGCCTGCTGTGTTCATCCAGCCCTGCACCTTGTTGTCTCGGATTCTCCAGTATCTGCAGTTCCTACTATCTCTAATGTTAGGGACTATTAGGTTTCCTGTAGAAACAGAATAATTAAAGCAAAGGAGCAGCCGTTTGATCTGCCAAGTCTGTGCCAGTTCTCTAAGTACAGTTTGACTAATCCTACTTTCCTGCCCTTTCTCCATTATTCTCACTTATTTTAACATTTCAGTTAGTTTTTATCTTTAGCAAGTATTAGAGTTCACTTTCCTCCATTCTCCGCACACAATTGGTCAGACCTATTTCGCCTATGCCAATTGTCCCAGTGCAGTCCCAAATTCCCTAGTATTTTCACATCCACCTGATTTTCTTAATCCATAGTGTTGAAATCAAAACAGAAACTGACCTCTAACAAGGACAACAGCAAGGTAAGATTTTCTTGTTGTTTGATATAAATCTCCGCAAACTGTCCAGCCAGATCTTCAGAATTGGTCTTCTGAACATTCTCCTCTGCAAAACAAAGGGGAGAAATCCAAATGCATAAATCGGAATCATATTGAGCTAGAACACTATATTGGATCCCACCAGAAATGAGATGAATATAGCTGTTTTAATAAAAAAAATTACAGTTTGTGACAGCAATGTGAAAAATACTGAATATTAAGGCCCAAAAAGTTGGCAATTTCAATAAATAGGGGCAATACACAATAGACTTTCAGATTTTAATAATTAAGGTCTGAACTTTTAAGTTGTGAGGAAGTCAAGCTTGCTTTAAAACATTATTGCATTTATAATCACTGGTGTAGAAAGTTAGCAGTTCTAACATGGTCTATAACAAGCACCAGGAAAATGAAAACAAACTTTGTACCAACTCTAAGTGGGACAGTAAAATTGTTTTCAATGTTTTTGAAGATGCTGATTGTTTGAACTCGTTTACCAGTGATCAATTATTAAGACAATAACTACCAGTCCAGGGGGTGACATGCATCAGAATCATGGCACAGAAAAAGGTCATTCAGCCCACTGTGCTTGAGGCAGCTCTTCATAAGAACTGATTCATCCTGCTTTCTCTCCCCACCACCAAACCCACACCCCCCCCAAACAATGTCCCTTCCTCATAGCAACACAATATCTCAATTAAAGCATATATATTCAAATTTCCTTTGTATGTTAATATTGAATCAGCTTGGAGGTGGTCCATCCCAGATCATATTGCACTGTATAAAATAAATTCTCATTTTCGCCATTTTACTTTTTGACCAGAATCTTCTGCACCCTCCAGCTGTCAACCTGCTTGCCAACAAAAACAGTATCTCCTTACTCACTCTTAGGTAAAGCTGGAGCATATATTAACTGCCTGTTGTCTTCTTTATAGGAAGTTAATCTCAGTTTGGCTCATTTCTCCACAAAATTGAATTCCCTTATCCTTTGTACTGTTCCAGCAAATCTCCTCAGAATACTCTCCAACACCTACACACCCTTTCTATGATGGTGTCTGGAATTGAGAGAGAATAAACCCCCTGAACCCTTTGATTAGATTTCAAACCAAATCACACTCCCAGGTACCCACTATTCGGTGCATGAACGCTCTGACCACGTCGATTAGACTCCGGTCTGTTATTCAATCCCAGGATCTGTTAATCTATACATTAACTCCCCCAAATACTTGATCAGATTCCAGTCTATAACTCAGTCTGTCCTGTAAGGGGCAAGGGGAGAGATTTCTGAGGTCTTCACAGAGATATTTATATCCTCCTTTGTCACAAGCAGGGTCTTCAAAGACTGGAGAATAGCCAATTTTATTCCTTTGTTCAAGGGCAATGGGGATAACCCGGAAATTATAGGCCAGTGAGCCTCACAGTTAGTGGTCGGGAAATTATTGAAGAAGATCCTTAGAGATAGAATTTATTTACATTTGGAGAAGAATGGACTTATTGGGGATAGTCAGCTTGGCTTTACACAGGCGAGGACTTGTCTTTGAAACTTGATTGAGTTTTTTTGAAGAAGTGATGAAGATGATTGATGAAGGTAAGGCAGTAAATGCTGTCTACATAGACTTTATTAAAGCATTTGAGGGGGTCCCTCATGCTAGACTGGTCCAGAAGATCAAATCACATGGAATCCACAGTGACTTGGCAAGTTGGATACAAAATTGGTTCAATCATAGAAGACAGAACAATTGTGGAGGGGTATTTCTCTGACTGGAGGTCTGTGATCAGTGGTGTTCTGCAAGGATCAGCACTGAGACCTGCTGCTGGTAATATATGTATAAAAGAAGGGTTTGGACAAAAATGGCGTTGGTCTGATTAGTAGGTTTGCAGATGACATGAAAATTGATGGAGTTGTAGATAGCGAGGAAGGATATCAAAGGATGCAGCTGGAAAGCTGGGCAGAGAAAGTGGGGTGTGTAGGCTTATTTCATGATATATTTAAAACTAAATAAGAAAGCAAAAAAAAAAAATGAAATAAGTACCAAGGGTATACAAAAGTGGGTTCTGATAATTTACTTGAATAGTTAGACTTTCTTCACAGATAATGCCCTGAATTCTGGTGATTCCAACATTTTTAGTTTTTATTTCAAACTAGAAGTCCACAAAACATATACAGTCAACTTGATATCACTATTAGACTTACAGTATTTGAAGAAATACTGCTGCAGTTGTTCTTTCAAAGGTTTAAACAGAATCAAAACATTTTATTCTGGGAAAAGCTAATAACATCCGTGAGTAAGACAGACAAATTTTGTCTGGCCTTGTAACTTGTTTACAGCCATACAATATGAAAGTTTAATTATGACAGTTTTCTTCTGAATTGACAAGGCGGGTTTTCATCTGATGGCTTCAACATTATGAGGAACGATCACTTTACTCAAAATCTTCCAGCTGTAATTTCCGCATATAGAAAACAGCTAACTGTTAATTTTGTTCCATGATAAAGTTCTTGTTTAAGATTCACGTTGGTAGGAATTCTATATCTGCTATGTCCTTGAGTCCACATGTGTGCAGTGACATGCTCACTGGAGTTAAATGGTGTAGAAACTCTGGAGTATAAACCATTAATGCTGTATTAGTAGACTCAATGCTGATGTATTCTTTTAACTCCCTTGACAGCTGTCCTCAAAATGTTTTCATTCAAATCCAATGAATCTTCATTTTTAAACACAAAATAGCTTTTGAATAAGTTGTATTAAAAATTCTCTCCATCATTTTGCCACACAACCAATTTCGTCATCTCACCACCTTCCAATGCCATCCATATCCTATTCCTCCAATGGAAATCCTCATCCCATTCCTTGAATCCTATCCCTGGTAAGCAACATCCCTCACGGAAACCCTCTCCAGACTGGGTAACTATGTTGTGCAGGGCTGGATGAACACAGCAGGCCAAGCAGCATCATAG